CGAGGCCCTGCAGGAGTTCCACAGTGGCTGAGCCAGGATGGGCAGCCTGTGGGATTGGAAGGTGTCCCCACTCTAGGAGAGCTTCCTAAAGGCACGTGGGGTCTCCCTAGTGTAGAAGAATACCTGGCACATAGTAGGCATTCTTTATCTCTGTGAGAGAAAGGGGGGCGGGGGGGGAGAGAGAGAGAGAGAGAGAGAGAATGTCAGAAAACCTTCCTGGAAGGCCACAGCTGCGAAGCTCCGAGGCAGTCAGCCGTTCTCTGAGCACTGGGGAGGGCGGCTGCTATTGTCTGCAGACCCTCACCAGGTGCAGTTACGGTCGGGGCCTTCCCTGCCCTGTGTGTGTCTGCGTGTGCTTACTCATTAGATGTTGTTGGAATTGGCCATGTTCTTCCCATCTAGTCAGCTTCTCTCACTAAAGCCTGTCTCCCCCCCCCCCCCCAGAAACAAGTGGGGAGCAGAAAGTCTCTGATTAACTTCTCAACGGACCATTTTGTGGCCTCGGGATCCGTCTTGTGTTAGCCCATGTCCTTCTCGGCTGTACCCCTCCTTCACAGTGGAGGGAATTGCACTGTGGCGTTGAGAGGAGAGGGAGCAGGCAGGAGGCACCAGGCTCCCACCCAGGAGGAAGTCCTTCTGTCGGGTCTGTGGGTCTGTGCGGCCTGTGAGGATAAGCCTTTTCCTCCTGCATCACCGAGAATATCTGTTGACCTCGGGAAAGTGCCTGGAAGCCTCTCTCCCTTGAACTGATTCATGTGACAGGCGGCTGTTGGGTAGCCGTGCAGTTGAAATCCGTTCTCAAAGGTTAAATGGTGAGATACTTCCTGTGCCGTCTTCATTTTTATTTTCTTCTCCCACGGGGTTAGGAATCAGAAAACCGAGGGTCTCGCCCTGTGTCCACCGTGAGGCCTTCGGTCAGTGACCTCACCTCTCTGAGCTTTGGTCTCAGAATGTGTGAAGTGAGCGGGCTGCCTGCCCAACCTGCACTGGGGGCAGCGTTAACGCTCCCCGGGGGTGATGAGCAAAAGCACTTGGGCGCAGTGAGCCGTGTCAGCTGGACCCCGTGCTGTTGGTCCCGCAGCCCTGGAAAGCCAGGTCTCACGGGTTCTCGGGTTGGGATCCCCCTCATACTGGCCACTCCCACTGGGAGTGCCCACCGTGCCATGCTCTTTGGCATGGGCTTTAGGCTTCCGAACCCCCAGGATCCTAGGACATGCCATCAGTCATGCCTGCCTTGCCATCCACACCTCGGAGGAATCTTAGACCAGAGACACTTTTGAATCTTTTCTGGTTCATGTCCCAGCTCCCTATTCATGACCAAGTAAAATTCAACCCAAAGACCTTCCTTAAACACAGCTTTCTGCCAGTTCTTACCCACTGTAGCACATGGGAATAAAATGTCATCAAATTCTCCACTGACTGAGGAATTCATGTGCTCAGCTGTACCTCAGTTGGCATCGTGGATACGTCCTTGACAAGTTGTTGCACGCTTGTAAAGATGAATGACCTTAGCTGTAATGCAGGGTGGTGTTCAAGGACCTGCCTAGTGAAACCAATTTTATGTTATACTAATGAGATCATCCTATCTAGACAAATCTGCTTTTTGCAACTCAGTGTATCTCGGATGATCTTTAAATGTCAATTTATACACAGATCAACAATTTTCTTAATAGCTGATACACACCACAGGTTTCCTTCTGACATTTAAACAGTTTCTATTAAACATATTTCCATTAATCATTATAAACACCACCTCTGCACACTTGTGATTACTTTTGTAAAACAAACTCCAAAATGTGTTATTTAAAAATTTTACAGGTCATGCTAAATTGCTTGCATTCAAATAGTATAAACTCCTACCAATGCCGAACCGGTTTGGCTCAGTGGATAGAGCGTTGGCCTGCGGACTCAAGGGTCCCAGGTTCGATTCCGGTCAAGGGCATGTGCCTTGATTGCGGGCACATCCCCGGTGGGGGGTGTGCAGGAGGCAACTGATCAATGTTCCTCTCTCATCATTGTTTCTAACTCTCTATCCTTCTCCCTTCCTCTCTGTAAAAAATCAATAAAATATATTAAAAAAAAATAATAATAATAATTAAATTTATAAAATGTAATTTATGAAGCACTTTAACCATTGTTATTCTCTTTATTCTTGTGGTTTCTTCTAGTTATTACAGTACAAACTCTCTCTTACATGAGGAAATTAATTATAAGAAAAACACAATTTAAAGAAATTTCTGAGTTATTTTCATTCTGTTTAAACTCTCAATCCAACTTTTTTCTAATGGAGACCTCCTTGGGATGATTTTAAGTCATTTACCTTGGGAATTTTCTCATTGTTCTTGTTTCTAAAAATAATAGGCTATTTATAGAGGTCATATAGAATACTAATTTTGCCCCTTGGATCTGTTACATCTCATCCTTGTCCAAAACCTAATAATGGGTCTACAGGCCCAGATTTATCAACTAATTGTATCACTGGAATGCCTCATTTTTATAATTGATTTTCAAAAATACATTTCTAGACAACTACCTGGAAACTGAATCACCATACTGGTTAAAAATGTATGCAACAGGGTAAGATTGAAAATTCAGGTGCCAAACTGTTACCAAATAGAGCTCCTGAGCCTGCAATGTGGAATGTGGAATATACAGAACTCTGTTCCTAGAACTTATTTTACATTTAACCTTTTTTTTAGAAAACATCATCATCACCATCTAATATTTGAGCATTTACCAACTTCATGCTTTGTGTTTATTTTCACTGTGGTCCTGTAGAGACTAGTGCAGTTGCTACCCCATTTTACAGGCGAAGAAACTGAGGCTCAGAGTTGTTATTTAACTTGCCCAAGGTGACATAGATAAATGGCGGAGAGAGAGCATTATAATTCTGTGTGACTTCAGGGCACAGGTGCTTAGACATGGCCCTGCCACCTCTTGGAGTACTGTTTTGGCAGTTCTCAGAGCTCAGGTCTCGGGGCTCCTCATTTGGATATCTCTTCATTCAATCAAGGCCTCTTCAAATTCAAAATGTGAATATTCTCTAGTTTTTTTTCTGAGTTGTTCTTTATCCTTACTTTCACTAACACTAACCATCAGCTTCTGCATTAAATTCTCGTTCATCGTCTTGGAATTCATCATCCTTCTGTTAACCATTTGTACGCCATAAGCGTCTATAGACGCAAGCGGCGGACCTTTTTTACTAGTATTTAAATGCAAAATATCGTGGCAGTTAACTGGTTAAAGTTTCCTCCATATCAAAGACCCTCTCCCCTTACCTTCGTTCTCTGGTCATTTTTATTCTCTTCCTTCCTAAGGAAGAGACTCAACCCACTAGTACTTTTATTCCCTGTGTGATTTAAATGACTCCGGGAGGATACATAAACATGTTGAATGTTGACTAAATTTAGACATTAAATCAGCAATTTTGGGATGATTCTGCTGTGGTTAAAATTCGTAAATAAATAGCTCTGATCTTTCTATTCCAAAGCATAAGGAGAATCAGTAAGTTATGCTGACTTCAGAGAAGTAAAATAAAATAGACAAATGGTTGAAAGCTTTGCTAACCTTTCTAAAGTTCAGCCCTTACAGACAGCAGTTTATGGGGTTTTTAAAATATTTTTATTGATTTCAGAGACAAAGGGAGAGGGAGAGAGAGAGAGAAACATCAATGATAAGAGAGAATCATTGATTGGCTGCCTCCTGCATTGCCACCCCCCCCCCCCAAAGGATTAAGCCCGCAACCTGGGCCTGTGCCCTTGACCAGAATCAAACCTGGGACCCTGCAGTCCCCAGACTGACGCTCTATCCACCCAGCCGAACTGGCTAGGGCTATAGGTATTTTTGAGAATTTTAAGTTAATCAATTATACAAAGTTTAACATATTGAGGAGTTTAGACTCTTCAGTGTACATAGTCTTATAAGAGTATAGATAGTTTATCCTGGTCTCACCTACACTTAGGTAAAATGTGGTGGCTAATGCAACAGGATTTATCCAACATGAAAGAAGTACTTTTGAGGTCACGTTCCAGTCACTGTAGAAGTGACATCAATTCTTTATCACGAAAACTGTGAATTGCAGTGTCTGCTCCCTCCCTATGTGATGTTTGGGAAAAGTGCCCTCCCTCCCCCAGATAAGTTAAATTGTACCTGGGAATATTGTTTCAAACAACAAACTTGAATATTTTCCCTACAGTTATTAATGAAGGCTGGTATACATATGTCATCTACAACTTATATTCACTGTATTTTTTTAAAAATATGTTTTTATTGATTTCAGAGAGAGGAAGGGAGAGGGATAGAGAGATACAAACATCAATGATGAGAATCATCAATCAGCTGCCTCCTGCACACCTCCTACGAGCGATTGAGCCCACAACCTC